GGGAGGGTGGGGGTGGGGTGGGGAGGGGGAAGTATCGCGGGAAGCGGGAGGGAGCGCGGCTGGGAGAAGTCGCTATGGTGACCGCGGGTCGGAACGCTGGGTGAGCTGGTCCTAGCTCTGGGAGGGCAATCGCCACCACTTTCCTGGAACTTGAGGTACATCTCTTTACCCTCGGAGGTGGTGAGGAATGAGTGTGGAAGTTGTAGCCGTCACTGGATCTCACCTTCCCTGGTTGGAGGGTGTGTGCGGCACGAAGCATCTGATTTTATAACCTTCTTCCTGGGGCCAGTGGGGCTTTGGGGCTTAATGGATTTGAAGAGGCCTCTAGTTGGGGAGAGGGAGCCCCAGTGGTTAAAAGCTGTGGCTGCTAAAAGAAAGATCAGTTTGAACCCATCATCCCCTGAGCGAGAGAAGGGCGAAGATAACTGCTCCTGCAAAGATTTACCGCCATAGAAACCCCAGTTCTAGTCTACCCTGCAGCGGGGCTCTGAGTGGGAATCCACTGGTCCGCCCGTGTGATAGGGGTAAGAGGAGGGATGGAGACTGGGAGAAGAGAGCCTGGATTAGTGAACGAACCTTTATGTGCCAAGTGAATATCAAAACAGTGACTTTAGGGTTATTCGTGTTTCGTCAGAAGTGTTAGTGAAAAGGGGTTTGGAAGTGTAAAATATGAGGGAAAGGGGTCTGTAATAGAAGAAACATTTGCTAGTGCTACATTGATCAGCAAAAACATTTAAAAAGTCTTTTGTATACATGTGTACTGTGCAAGACAGGATTACTAAGCAAGTATGACAATTCATCTCCCCAGAGAACTGAATTTTGCTTTTGGGTGTTTGTTCTGTGTCTTTAGACCCCGTAATTAATGATTTATACATCCCTTCCCTGGAATTGTATATTAAATTTGTGTGTGTGCTTTTTCTTCTGGGAAGTTATTTTTCTCAGAACTTTCATAAAAATCTCAAATGTGGCCCTCACTCCCCACAGTTTTGTTTTTTTTTTAAAAACAAAACAAAACTAACACTGGTTAAGTTGACCTTCAATGTACTTGATATTGAGAACTGGGACTCTCATACTGCCTGCCTCCTGACCTGCTTTTCTTTTGCATACTTAGAGCCTAGAACATTAAAAGCAATGAATGTGCTTTATAAATGAATTTATATTTTATTCTAAGTATTTAATGACTCCTGCCCTGAAGGAGCATATAATCAGGTTCAATGGAGGAGGGAGCATCCCCTCTAAGTCTAAAAACTTACTGAAGTTATGGTTTGAATAAGACATAACTTGAGAGTATGCCTTTATGCTTGAGATTGAAAGAAATAATTGCTGTTTCATAACAAACTACAGAAAATAAATCAATGAAAAATTTTGGATCAAGAAGATCTAATGGTTCTCGGTGAAGGCTTTAGAATTTTGTGGATTTTTGAGATGTGTAAAATGGATGTCAACAGCTAATGCTCTTGGCTGCTAACCGAGCACTTTGAAAGAAGGCATGGGAATCTGCTTCTGAACATTCAGCTATGGAAAGCCAAGTGGGGCACAGTTTGACTCTTGACACGTGGGT